CCCCAGCTCCATTCATTGTTAGCCTTACCATACATAGTTCTGCTCTTCCTTTCCCAGGCTCACAGTCGAATTTTACTTCCTCATGCCCTCAAGGTTAGCTGTGACCTGCACTAACTTTGGTCTAGAAACTGTGAATGGAAGTTAGGGGCTACACCAAAGTGAATGCACTGTGCTGCGGGGGTGAGGCTCCAGTTCCTCAGCAACAGGGCCTCTGTTAGTCTGCATCCCCAAAGGGAGACAAAACTGAGCAGAACCCTACACGCTGGAAAGAACACTTGCATTAATGCAGAGAGACTTTGCAATTGTTTGTTTCTGCAGCTCAACCTTGCCATCCTCATGTCCATCAGGGCAGACCGCACTCTCTGCGCTAGGAACAGCTCCCCGGTATCAGCTCCACACCGCTGCGCTCAGAGGGGTGGACATTTCAGCCCTAACAGTCACTGCTGAATTTCTCATCTGCCCCCCTATCCCTGCTCCACTCAGCCTCTCACTTTAGCCCAAATGTCATTTCCATCCTTGTACTTTCTCAAGCCAAAAACATTGTGTCCTTCTTGTCCTTAGCCTTTTCTGTCATGTCCCACATCAAGTCTTTGGCAAATCCCTGTGGCCCTGCCTCCCAAATCGATCTGGAAGTGAACCATGTCTCACAGTCTCCTGAGCGACCACCCTGACCGCACTCATCACCCCTTCACTTCGCTATCATAGCAGCCTCCTTCCCAGTCTCCACGCTAGCTGCAGTTTGCCCTGCAGTCTTATTCTTTCCAGCCAGCCAAGCAGACCCAAAATCTCCACTGCGCTCACAGCAAAAGCCAAGCCCTACAAGGTCCTCTCCAGAGCCCATTCCTCTGCCCTTTCTTCATTTCACTTTAACTATACTGGCCTGCTTGCTACACATCCAGCACAAGTCAGGGCTTCTGCTCCAGCTGCTGCCTCGGCCTGACCCGCTGGCGTAAACCCTCACCTCTTCCAAGTTTTTGCTCAAGTCTTTCTTTCACAATGAAATCTATTCCAGCTCTAAGTTTTTAAAAGCAAACTTGTCATATCAGGCCCTCCTACTGCGTTTTTTTTCTCTCATCATAGCATGTACCTTTCTCTGACCTATGACGTGATCTATGTCTTTACTAGGTTTATTGCATACTGACCTCTGTTAGCTAAAATGTAAGCTCTATAGATAGAGGCATTTTTGTATTCTTCTCATTGTTGTATTCCAGGCACCTGGAAGAGTTCATTTAATGGATACTTACATATTTATTGAGAGCATTTGTTCAAATAATGGATACAGGAATTATTATCTGGGACTAGGACACAGAATAATTTTATTCCAACTAAGTATTTGTTGGGTTAAACTGAATTGTAACAGCCTGGTTTCTAGTGATGGTGCTTAGTTTATTGGCATAGAGAGCATTTTCTGCAAACTTTACTGGAAACTTACAATTACCTTTTCTTAGTGTATCGTATTTTAGTTCCCCCTTTGGAGTATTTTCAGGTACTCATGCTTTTGCTAAGATTCTTTTTATTTTTAAAAGCTGAAGTTGCTGCAATGTAGCCATTGGGAATGCCACAGATCTTTGCTTTTTCATAGTAAGATTTTTCTAACCCACGTGCAATTTCTCTGCCCCAAACATAGAGACATAGCGTCTGTTGCTGCCCAGGAGGCCTGATTTGATTTAGGAGAGAATACCAGAGACCTATGCAAGCTGCTATAAGAATCCACATTAGACTGTTCCCCGAGTGCGGTGCGGTGGAGGAACATCACTATGGGAACAATTTGCTAACAGGAAGCAGTATCTTTTTAAGAAGTTTCATTAATTAGAGTCCACTGGGGAAAGCTACAAATGTCCAACAGAAGAGAAACAGCACAGGTACATTATTCCAAAGTGTTAGATGTCTGGGGTGTGAGGAGCAAAACAACAACACTGAGACAAAGGAGAGAGGTCGCAAAGGGAAACAGCTGCTGCCTCTGAGAAGAGGAAGTGCGGCAGGGCTGGCAGGCACACTGCCAGTGCACACTCTCAGGAGCATCTGCTTGGCGACTGAAATATACTAAGTTGTGCTGGGACAGGTAGTGTTGCTTAGTGACATGACTTCCTAAAATGGGCCAACAATCATATAATATGGAGTTTGAAACAAAGCAGCTTTTCTTCAATGTCTGCAGCAATCGAAATCTTAGGAAATTCAAAGCCTATTGGATTTTGCTAAGTGCATGTATAAAACATAAAATTAAGGCTATCATACAAAGCATTGACAATCATACAGGACATGGGAGGACCTATTGTGCAGTACAGCCCCCAGCACTGTGGGACGTCTAGTGTCCCTGGCTTGTCCCCTCTAAAGGCCAATGATCTCCCCTCAGTCACTAGGACAGCCGAGATAAGCCCCTAGACATTCCCAAAATGCCCCAAAGTCATTTTGTCTTCCTTATTGCTTCCTTGAGGGCCTGGCCCTGTCTGCCTGCCTGTAATATTTTTATCTAACTCAGCCGCCTGCAACAAGATCAGCATCAATGATCTTTCCTGTTTTCTTCTTGTAGTTTTACAGTTTCAGGCCTTACTTTGGTTCCTTTTTTTGAGACAGGGTCTCACTATGTAGTCCAGGCTGGCTTCAAACTCAGTGATCCTCCAGCCTCAACCTCTGGAGTGCTGGGATTATAAGTGTGCACCCCCATGTCTGACACAGGGTGAGGGACACATTCTCAAATCTTTGTGACTCAGCAAAAGCTTTTCAACAACAGTTGTCCTCACTTTTCTACGCTCTAGGAACATCAGCTCATTTCTAACTGGGTGTATGTGTGCATTACATTTCCTAATGCCAGGTGTGGTGGCCCATGCCTGCAACCCCAGCATTTGGAGGTCTGCAGGAGAACTGCTGTGAGTTCAAGGCCAGTCTGGGCTACAGAGTGAGTCAAATTCAGGTCAAGCTGAACTACAGAGCAAGAGCCTTTCTCAAACAAAGACATAAAGAAACAAACATCCTCCACCCCACAACCCAAAAATGTGCTGGGGATGTGGCTCAGTGGTGGTGCTCTTTCTTGCCTTCCATTTGCAAGGTTCTTTGCTTGATTCCCAGCACCACAAAATCAATCAATCAATCAATCAAACCTAACTTCTCTTGCACATAAGTGTGATCACTGGACTACGTTATTATTAATAAAGCACAAGGAAAATAACGTGTGCAACTTCCAAAAAGTGGTCCTGAAGGGAGAGGGCTTGCTCATTTTCCCCCCTGAAAGATTACTCAGGGAAAAGGCCAAATATAGGATGGGTGAAACAAAAGGAGTATTGGAGTTGGGAAGATTTACCAGTCCTTTAGCTAATAAGCCAGGTAAGTTCTGGTAGCAGATAAAATGTGAGAAAATAAGCACCGAGCCAGTGTGTAGCAGTGCAAATGGATGGGCTGGCTGGCTGGCTGTGCTAAGTGTTATGAAAGCAGTGTCCATGGGACTTGGCAACTGACCAAATTAGACACCCGAGGGAAGAATCAAAGGTCACTGACATTTCACAGAGGTGCCTGGGTCATCAGTGATGTTGCTAGCAGAAATAGGGGAGTTAGATGGTTGAACAGGCTTGAGGGAAGCAACCATGAAATCAGTTTTGAATTTGCCAAGATGCCCGCAGGGACATCCAATTGAAAAGCAGATGTAAAGTAGGCTGTTGGAAAGTCATTTCTGGAAGATGATTTGATACCTTTTGCACAAAAGGGGTAGTCAAAACAAAGGGAGGGGCTGATGGAAAAAGAGCGTGACTGCGCGATCTGCCCTTTCTTCAGAGCACACAGAAATAATCTGCATCCTGAGAAACCGGATAAATAGGCCGGGGAGATGGCTCAGTGGAATAAGCACTTCCCTAGCAAGTGCAAGGCTCTGAGTTCAATCCCTGGTTCGGCAATAAATAAATAAAAATTAAAAAAAAAAAATATATATATACAAATAATAAAGTTAGCACAGTAAAACGACTCTGCAGAGGTATTTCCTTTATGTCTTCCACAGCCAGAGCAGATATTAAATAAAAGATGAAATTAAAAGAAAATTAATAAAACATAAAGAATAAGGAAGCACTTCCCAAGCTGGCCAAATCCCTGTCCGAGCTGTTTTTCACCAGGCCTGGAGAGGGGAGATGAAGAGGGTAAAACCCGGTGGCTTGTGTTTCAGCTGCTTACGTTGCAAAAATGCAAACGCAGGCTGAGGCGTGAGAGCTCCATCTCTTTCAGGAGTTCTGCGTGTGCAGCCCGCGTACCACAGAGAGAGCGAGCAGACGACCCATGACACCAGCCCGAGAGCACCAGGGCGGGCGCACTGCACAATCGCAGCGCTGGGCTGGCGCCCCCGCGAGGCCCCTTCAGTAACTCGAAAGCTTTTCCAGAGCTCGGGGCGAGGGTACTCAACCTCTCATCCGCCATCTGCCCACCATCCACACACACACACCCCCTTCTTTTGTCTCCCGGCTACGGCCTGTGCAGCGCAGGCACCATGCGTGCTATGCCGTCGGAAACCCCCTTACGGTCGAGGACGCGAAAGGGCGACTGTCCCTGGGTCCACTCCTCGCGCGGCTCCTTCGCCAGAAAACTCTGGCGGGGGAACGCGGGCCACGCGGAGGAGAGCCCCGCGCCCTCCCCAGCCCCGCCAGACAAAGGCTGCCGCGGCGTTCCACGTTCTCCAGGCCCTCCGACTCCGAGAGCCCGGACCCTGGCCGGTCCTGCGAGACCCCGGCAGGTGCCAGCAAGCCCGGGCGGTCCGCTCCAGCCGCACCCCCGCGGTGGCCAGGAGCCAGGTCGGCCAGGAGAGGCCGGAGGCGGCTACTGGCACTGGGCAGGCCTACGCCTCCCACCCGCGGGAGGACAAAGCCCCCCCAACACGACGCTCCCCCACCAGAGGGGCGAGGGGCGAGGGGAGGGGCGAGCGTGCGCCCGCACCTCCTGGACTGTGATTGGCTGGCGCCACTGGGGGGCGTGGCGTCTGGGCCAGGGGGCGGGTTCAGGTGCTTCCGGCTCACGTCCCCCTTCCCTGTCTGCGTCCTCTCTCGCGGATGCCGTGTTGCATCATCTCAGACGGAGGGAGAGAAGGCTGGCAGCGCGCTAGTCACTCTACCCCCGGCTGGAACCCACCAGTCACGCTTCTCCTCATCTTTCTCGCACTGTCCGGAAGACTCCGGGGACCAGCTCCCAGAACCTGCGGGTCGTAGCTGGGAGACACCGATAGCTTCACCAGATCTATTCACTGGGAGCCAGTCTTTCTCAAAACCCAAGTTTCCGATCTCCTGCTGTTTGCAGCGTTGGGCAGCGCCATGGAGAAGAGCAGCGAGACCAACGGCTATCTCGACAGCGTCCAGGCGGGGCCTGCAGGGGGACCCGGTGCACCGGGGACCACGGCGGGACGCGCGCGGCGCTGCGCCGGCTTCCTGCGGCGCCACGCGATGGTGCTGCTTACCGTGTCCGGGGTGCTGGCGGGCGCGGGCCTGGGCGCAGCACTGCGCGAGTTTAAGCTGAGCCGCACGCAGATCACCTATCTGGCTTTCCCTGGCGAGATGCTGCTTCGCATGTTGCGCATGATCATCCTGCCGCTGGTGGTCTGCAGCCTGGTGTCGGGGGCCGCCTCTCTCGACGCCAGTTCCCTCGGGCGTCTGGGTGGCATCGCCGTCGCCTACTTTGGTCTCACCACCCTGAGCGCCTCGGCACTCGCCGTCGCCTTGGCGTTCATCATCAAGCCGGGGTCTGGCGCTCAGACCCTTCAGTCCAGCGACCTGGGACTAGTTCCCAAAGAAACAGTGGACTCTTTCCTCGACCTGGTCAGGTAATGCTCTCCACTTCTCCAGAGGTGCAGTGAGAAAGATCAGATCTCTGTTGTCCTCCACTTCGTACACATACACTCATGTAGCCTAAAACTTAACTGACTCCTGGTAGCCTTTAGCATTTTTAATATCAAAATAACGCCTGGAGCCTTTGCATGCTGACCACGTGTTTGCAAACAGAACACAGCAATCGTTCTCAGGGAGCAGGGATACATCCTGCAGCAACAACCAGCCTTACCGCTGGGTTGTGTATGTTAGGGAGGACTACCCTGCCTGTACTTTACTTCTTATACCCTCAGGCTGGGCCTATGGGGGGGGAGGGCTGTAACACCACGACCCCAGTACTTTCTCCCCACAGTGCCGGGCAGCTCCTGAGAACAAGGATTAAATTGTGCCTAATTCAACTTTTGGGCTTTGAAGGAAGCTGGTAATTTTCTGAAGAGTTGTTGATGGACCTGAGAAGGATAAGGATGGAATTAGTTATGTGGGCTCATTGCCCATTAGCAGGCTCTCTTGGGGACTTGGGACGGATTGCTTTCTACCCCAGTCAGGATCACAGCGGGTATTTAAAGAGGCTTTCTTTGTGGAAAGGCTGAGTTCTTGAAGGTGGAGAGACCTTCTCCACTTGGCTTCACTTGCTCATTTCATCCCGTGAAATGATATAATGTAGTTTCCAAAGCCTCACCTCTTTTGGCTTCTCCCTTAATCCAAAGTTCACAGCTGAAGAAACAGCAGCCTGCAGGCATTTACTGATCTAACCAGGTTCAGTTGAGTGAGGAGTCCAGCTGGCTACCCCTCCAAGTTCTTGCGAATGCTGGATTTTGAGCCTTCAAGGTATGCTGTCTTGAGCTGTTGAGCCAAAACCTTATGACTAAGCCTGTGGAAAGCAGCAAGCCCTGGACGAAGTCACTTGCCTTGCTACGGTTTCCATTTCTGTATTTGGAAAATGTGATGACCGTCTGCCATGTAAGAGATTGTTTATTTAAACAACAAAAATCCAGGACATCTGTATTAAAAAAAAAAAAAAAAAAAAAAAAAAAATGCACATAAAAAAAAAAAAAAAGCCAGGTGTGGTAGTACAGGCCTATAATCTCAGCGTTTAAGAGGCTGGTGAGGCAGGAGGATTGCTGTGAGATCGAAGCCTGCCTGGTCTACATAAGTGAGTTCAAAACTAGCCTGTGCTACATAGCAAAACCCTGTCACAAAATGAACAATCCTGGTTCTGCCAAAAAAAAAAAAAAAAAAAAAGAACAACCTGATGAGAAAAACCAAAAGTTCTTGCCAGAAGGGCAGTAAGGGTAGCCGATAGCTTCTATTCTCAGGCAACTTGATATTTAGTCTTGAGAAATTTTTGAAGTTTTAGAGCTTTTAGGTGGGTATTGAAACAAAGACATCTAAGGTCAAAGGCACCTTTGACTTCTTATTTTGTGGCATCAGTTCATATAGAAAGTAAACGTAACAGTGATTCAAGAATTCCTTTTTTTCTCCCCCAGGAAATGTGTGGCCCAAGGAAGGGATTATGTTGCTCAGCTCTGTTATGCTGATGCTGCTAGTTCAAAGGAAGCCTCAGTAGTGTTTTAAGATGGACAGCAGCGAAAACATGGGAGCTGGGACTGAAGCAGAGACAGATGCCTTGAGACCATCAGCCTCAGAAAGGCCTTCTGTTTCCTGGTGTTAGGTCAAGCTCCTGAAGTGAACAATGAGCCAGTGGGTGTCACAGCTTAGTGGTCAGTGCAGGTCCACCTTCTCAGTGACCCTGGGCACACCTGCACAGGAGAGGAGAGCTACGAGAGGTCTTGTCATACATAGCTTGTTAGGATAGATAGTGTTTCATCTGTTTCCAGTGGCTCACAGGGAAAGGCAGGACAGGCGGTATGATCCTGCTTTACAGCTGAGGAAATGAGGCATAGAGAGATTAAGTGATTTGCTCAGGGTCATGGAGTAGTTTATCAAAGGGAGGATTAGGAGGACCATGGATGTCCTGCCCTGAAATTCAAGGCTGTTTTTCCTACTTTCTCTTGCTCCAAGACAACACGTTCTAGTAATGATGTCTCATTCCTGGTCTAGTGTCACTGTCTCAGAGATGTTTGCTTTGGGCCAAAAGAGGAACCAGGGAAGCTGCAGCAGGGCCGAGGAAGATGTCTATTCCCTCCAACCACCAGTTGAGGCTGACCCCCCTTTTTGAAGAAAATGTGTTCTTGTACCTGTTCAGGTTGGGTTGCATGCTGAGCAGTTGTGACATGAAACTGAGCCACCTGGAAATGCTTCCTGGTCTGGGAATTCTTTGGGCTAATTTTTAAAAATTGCTTCCTTCCGAACCTCATGGATGCCAAGTACGTGTAATTCTGGGCATGCTCTTTGGCCTGTGAGCATGTGAATGGGACAGGGTGTGGATAGACTGAGATTGCTTTAATGATGTGAGTTAATACTTGAGTGCCTGCAGGCCCTTTTGCCCAGTAACACCTGGAAGAATGGGGAAGTCTGATGATTTCACATAGTTGCCTCCAGGGCCTTGTGCTGTGGTGGAATGTCCCAGAATTCCCAGATGGTTCCTCTGCCATGATTTCTAGTTTATCTTTTAAAGACAAAACTGGGCCGGCAAGATAGCTCAGTAGACTAAGTGTCTGCTTACACAAGCGCAGAGTCCAGGGTTTGATCCCCGGCACCACATGCCGTCCTGGCCCTGCTCCCAGGTGCACTGAGCTGGCCTCTAAGACCAGGCATGGTGGTGCATGCCTGTAATCCCAGCACTGGGGAGGCTGAAAATAGGAAGATCACTATGAGTTCGAGCTGGTAGTGAGATTCTGCACCAAATACATAAAAGACAAAAAAAAAATTACAGGTCAGACAGATGACGCCAGTATGCATTCGTCATTCGTGGCTTTGCTTTATTTCAGAATGTGATTTGTGAGTGGTTTGCTCTCCCAACACAATGGATGCTAGCTAACAATGAAGAGTTGGGGTGAGGAGCCCCTAGGGAGCAATGGCACAGAGCAGGTGGCAGGTGGGAGAATCCGTTTCCTCCTGAGCAGCCCAGAGCTCCATGCCCAAGTGACCACACTGATTGGCTTCTGACTTCCTATTCAAATTGAAATGGTTTAGGGGTGAAAGAGATACAACAGGTTATCAGGAAACTAGCCATTGTTGGGCTGGCGAGATGGCTCAGTGGTCTAAAGCACCTACTTAGAACAAGCTTAGCAAAGCACAGGGACCGTGGTTCAGTCCCTCAGCACATGCCAGCCAGCCCCGCCCCCTGGTGGGCTGAGCTGGCCACACAAATAAATAAATAAATGTTTTTTTTTTTTTTTAAAAAAAGAAACTAGCCATTGTAGGGCTTCTTGATCCCCAAGAGGTGCTTACTGATACAGAATATATCCATAACTTTTCCATTCCTTGGTTTCCTCATCTTTATAGTGGAAGTCATGATGGTACCTGCCTCGTAGAACTTCTATTGAGAATTAAATATGTCCTTAAAGCTTTTAGATCAGGGCTGGCCAGGTAGAAACTTGCACTTTCTATATGGGGAGCAGTGTAACAATGGGTTTCCCCAGTTCATGTGGGCAAATGGGGACATCGTTTTCCCATAGCCTGAGATAAATGAGGGCAATTGGGAAAAAAAGGACTGTTCAGAGAAGCTCAAGATAACTTGAAGCTAATGTGGGCTTTGAGAGTATTGGAAACCAAATGGCATTTGGAAAGGTAAATTATGGTATGTTGTGGACCAATAGAATCACACTTTGGAAAATGCAAAAGCCAAACACAGGAGAGCATTCCAATATGAAATAGGGCAAAAACCCTTATAGATCCTCGCTGACCTTCCAGTTTCTTTTGCCCCTCCCTGCGTGCTTATGGTCTTTTTTTTTTTTTTTTTTAATTTCAGTTGTAAATTAAAGGAATTGAGACAGTTGGCTTCTACCATGTATTCCTCTAGGCTTCAAAGTTTATAGTTTTCAGATGCAGAACTGGAGGCTTAACTGCTAAGGAGGCAGGTAGGAACAGTGCCTGGCCGAGCGTTTCCGCCTGCACTGGCAGCCAGGATGGCTGTGGGCTGCTGCCAGGTACATGGCAGGCACCTTTGGGGCTTTACCTGTCACATGGTTTTCTAGTGTTCCCTCATTATGCTCATTTTCTCAGCAGCGGACAGTGTTTGCTTTCCCTTCACGGAAAGGGGCAGGCTGGGCTGATGGGTACCAGTGTGATGGCGCCTCTCCAGCCACAGAAAGCATGTTTCTTGCATTGGTGCAGAGAAACCAGTTGGAGACCAGGATCCAATATTAACTAGCTGTTGCGCAGTTGGAGGAGGGAATTGTGAAGCATTTCTTTGAAATGTTGACCGTGGCAGTGTACCTGTGCTTCTAACTCTTCTACAGGCAAGATTCTGAATTAACAAATGAGGCTAATAATACCTTGAGCTGCATTGAGAGTTCCATGAGTTAATACCTGAGAGCCTTGAGCATCCCTTCTCTGGGGACACATGAGGGCTGCTTGATACAGAAAATGGCAGTTCCTGCCCTTGTTTCCCCATGAGTCCATCTCTAGTGTTTCTGGCTGGAGTCTAAAATAAGACGGAGGCCTTGAAGAGAAGGTTCACAAACAGGCACACACCATCACCACCGTCGTGCCATGAGCCCACAGCACGCAGCCCCTCCTTGCGCTGCAGCTTTGTAAAGGTACCAGGATCTGAAGGGACATCGCTGTGCGGGGGCTCCAAGACAATAAACGCTAAAGCTAATAAATATTTATTGGGTATGTATATATCATGCCAGATCCTGTTCTGGAGTCTTTGAAGTCTCTGTAGAGCAGAATGTTTGAACTTAAAGAAAAGGAAATAAATTCTGGAACAAAGTATACCTAAGCAAAAGTAAACTATTTTACTTTCTTCTCATATATAGCAGGGAAATGCCTACACCCTTGATAATAGGATCAGAAAAACACATGGCACCAGATGTATAAAGTAGGGATGTCCTTTGAAGTTTTTCGTGCTGAGCCGCTTCTCTTCACA